AGTTATTTTTATTAAAATAATTTTCACCCCCGGGAAGAGCAAAAGCGCAAGTTGGCATTATGTCACTTTTGTTTCTTAAGGTATCCCCCATCTACTCACCAATTTTCATGAAAATCGATGGAGGTTTAACAAAATCGGAGGTTGTAGCTGATTTTTGCCTTCATTGACTGGACTATTATAATGAATGATTTTTTCATCGTCTAGCCAAAGAGAAACAGTAACCCTTGGTGAAATGAAAATAAGTTTTGGTGTTGTTACCTATTGTATGAGTACATTGTCCATAAAGCCGCTAGTAGGCAGGACTGACCGGATGCAGATTAGATATCTTTATGTAAACACACTAATATTATAAAGGCGAAAGTTTGTGAGTGTGTATGTTTGTTAATTCTTCACGTCTTAACGGCTGGAGAGATTTTAATAAAATTTGGTACTTTTTACTGCGGGAAAATGTTCCTTATAAAACGCGGGTAACACCGCGGGGCACAGCTAGTTATCTATAAAAATAACGCAATTAACGCTTGCCAACCGAAACGATACATTGGTGACTTAAGATAATACATAAAAATGAAAGTTCAAGATTATTAGAAGTTTCACGATGACGATGATGATTCTGAGGCGGCAGTAAAACCCTCATCATAAAACAAGCGACACACGATCAACTCCAGGTAAATAATTTACTTACCTATATCATTTTTAACGAAAAAGCTAATTTTCGCATCTTTGTTAAAAAAAGAAAATCATTTATTGACGATACACATTTACGAAAAAAAATAACATAAATACAGAAAATCGGGAGCAGTAGGCCCCAGCCTCAGCATAATGTTCAACGGCAAACGGGTGAACACTGCAACGCTGATATTCTGGAGGGCCTAATTTTTACATCGACGGACGGACGGAAAATGTAATTTAATAAAAGTTAATAATAAATTACAAATGTACATATACTATGATGTTAATTCGTCTGTCATCTTTCATTCTCTCCCTCTCAGAAATTTTATACAATGTCTTTATTTTTTGTTCTCACTCATATACAGTAGACCCGCGGTAATCCGAAAAACTTTTTGCAGGGCGATGTCGGATTATCGATTTTGTTGGATTACAGAGTTCTGCCTAAGACCACCCTCTATAGACCGGAATTTTTGAAATAAGAGTACCTTGTAATCCGACAAATTACAAATGTAAACATATTTTTCAAATGATTTTATGTGCAAATCAATAGTGATAATCGTGTCGGATTATCGGGGGCCCCGGATTAGACGGTACTTGCATCAAACTTCTTGGATAAACAAAATATGTATAAGTATTAAATAAGTAGTGTATACTTGTAAGATACTAGTTGTCTACGCAGTGTAAACTATATAATGTTTTAAACAGCCACAACAAGTATTCTGCAAGTTTTGTTTAAAACTAGTTTATGACTTAAAAAAAAGAAAAAAAAACTTATAAAACGTCTACTGCGCAGGTTTATTTGTCTATGCTTTTGCTCAAGCAGTTTGCCCCACACCTATACTGCCACAATTTGTAACAGTATAATGTTGAAGTTAATACTTATGAATGGAAAATATCACTATTTTATATGAGTATTTATTTATTTAGTTTCCTTAGTACTTATACAACCTATGCTGAGATTAGAACTCAATAATTTCATTGTTGTGAGTTGTTTACAATTTATTATTATTATTATTGGCTGATAAAAGCAGTGTAGCGTGGTGTACGATAAGCGTAGATAACCGCCAATGTCAATGAAAGGTAGCGCCGTATGTCTCTGCATCCGTTAATCTATGTGATCATCGTATAATAAGTGTATAATAGATTGGCTAGTAAACGACTCCGTCCCATCTGATGCTGCCACACGCACCTTCCTAATATATTCCTCTATTTCAAGGAGTATTATGGACCTATTTTCGTAGGTAGAAAGAATAGTATACCCTTAGCACGAACCTACTGGTATATCGAATTCAAAAAGTTGAATTCGATCTAGATACGCTCCAAATATGAAGATGTTGTGTATGTAAATTTGAACTGCGCACTATGGGAACTTTTACTCATTTTCATCTCAAAAATCTATAACTCCTGTGTTAATAAAGATAACATCATGTTTTTTTTTCTTCTGATAATCTTGAATATATTTGCTTTTAAATAATGTATAATTTGTGTATAAAAGTATATTTATAATACTTACAAAAAAAAAGAAAAACAATAAATATACGATTTTTAGACTTACATCTATGTTTTCATAAGTTTATTAAGGTAACCAGTAAATGTAACTGCTTAAAATTAAAAAACAAACATCATAGTAGCTCAAATGTCTCGTAAAAGCTACTTTTCTTCATCAAAAAGTTCTAAATATTTTTTATTAAAAGGTTTTCTCAAACATGTAATGTACAGATCAGTGGTATACAATAATGTGTAGAACATCTTCGTTGGTGGCTGTCCTCGAATATTTTCTTGCATGAACTGTTTGTAGTTTTTGTTCCGTCACTCTTGAGCATCTTCTAAAGTTGCCCAAGAGGCAATAAGTACCGAAAAATGACATACGACACTTTCACCATGATTAAAAAATGTGTGCACGAAAGATGGCATATAGTACAATTTATATTTATTAACATACAGTTGTGCTCAATCAAATCCCAACTCCAATTTCTGTTTTGGCTTAAGAACTATTCTTTCTATCGACCAGCTTAAGTATAGCGTTGACGAAACTGAGTTATGAAAGACTTCTGAATACTTGCGATAATTTTAGCAATATTTGCATCTGAAGATTCGGTGAAATTGCTTCGTATATAGTTAGAGATGGAAACACCATAATTTGTATCACTTTCAAACAATAAGTAGACTTAGGTTGCGTCTGGTACACGAGAAATAATGACTCATTGCGGCAAGATATTTAAGAAACAATTATTTTAATAATAATATTCGTGCCAAATTTAAAGTAATACCATGCAGTACTTTTTGAGTTAATCCTGGACATACATACAGACAAACAGACAAAATTTCTAAAAACTATATTTTTGGCTTTAGTATCGGTTGTAGATTCCACACCACCCAAGTATTCTTTAAAAAAATATTCAATGTACAGTTTTGACTTTCCTACCATTTTATTATATGTATAGATAAAAAAAATATTTTATATATTTTTTTTAATAATAATAATTTATTTAATAAGGCACGGTCTTTACACGTACCTTTCGCACCATTTGCATTCATTACCCTTTTTATACAAGCCTGGCCGGTTTGGGCTGGTATTGCGGTCGTCACCCACGATCAGAATGCGATCAATTTATATAGGTGAATTTTGGCCTTCACACGCTTCTACGTCCTTCCACTATCGCGTCATATACGTATCTATTACATCATTCTCTCATTTGACATTATTTCCAATTTATGTTTCAAAATTTTGACACTGTAAGCTTTAGCAAATAAAATTTTGCCAACCCATCTAGTGATGCAGTAGATTTCTGCTCTTATACGTTATATATAAATAAATATAGAAATTTGCTATTCCTACTTTTTTCTGGGCTCTCCTCTATTTCGGCATCCCTGGCTGTTTCCAAAGCGATCTCGGGTGCGGGATTTATATATGAAAATATATCCCTATCTGTACAACTACATATCGTAAATCTTTATTTTTTACTAGCGAGAAATTCTGCTTAAAGCAAATAAAAAAAAAAAAAAACAAATTGTCATACAAACAAATTTCTCTACGAGGATTGTAACTCAGGATTTCTAGCTCAAAAAAATCCAGAAGGGAAAGCAAAGAGAGATTTATTGTTAACAAATATCATAGAGAATCAGACAAGCAAAAGTTTCTTCATAAAAATATTCGCCTCGCCTTTGAACATGAACGTTTTTTTTTGTAAACAGAGTTTGAAAGCACATAATGTATGTTATTTAGATTGTGTTTATTCAGATTGTGATTCATACATTCGCGTGGTAAAATTATCCCCTCGTTATAAACTTCTGTCAATCACAAAACATTGATTTTCTGTATCAGATTTAGATTGTACTGATAATAATATTGAATTATAGTAATATAAGTTATTTACGGGATTGCCATGATCACGGAGTAACTGATCTCCGTGATCATGGCGCGTGCCGAAATATCGGAAACTCGCTAAAAACAAGGTACATGGTAACGGTAATGGTAACAATCATAATGTTAGTGACCATGAAAGTTTAAAACAATATAATATTGAATTGGCTTATTTTTACTGAACTGGTAAAATCTCACTGCAGATACAGAGATTATGGTAGTTAACTCAAGTAATTTTATGTTGCGCTGTATCATCAGGTTTCTGTGACTGTTTACCATTTAGAAATGTTTGCATAAATATTCCATCTGATGCAGATATCGTATCTGCAACTGTAGTCATCAGTTAATTTGATATCGATGGCCGCTCAAATATGATACTGGCACTTTCTATGGAATAAAACAACAATTGACAACCGACTATTAATTAGTGTACGAAGAAGTTAAGTGTATCATAACATGCGGTTTTTACCAATGTTTTAAGCAAACACTTCAAATATCGACACCTGCAAGGATATTTTATGGCACTTATACTTTATGAGCACAAACCTGGAAAATTTTATTGGGAAATATTTAAATAATTCTCAAAAATATAAAATGTACAATTGATAATCTTAAGGTTGAGTTAGATAACCAATTTATATTTTTTAATATTTTGAGGATCAATTTTAAATGAAAGGACGTCGTCAAGTCATTGACAAGTAAAAAATATGCAAATCGCATTGTCTGCTAATGTAAGGTCGTTAAACTCAGAACGTATGATGTGCATGCACTTAGTAACTTCAGCAACGCTATTAACGAAGCATCCCTGCGCGCATCGCCTCTCTACGCATGTCATCCCCGTTTAAAACTCAAACAAAATGCATAAGACACGTCGCGCGCAACAGATGGTGCATTCTTTCACCACCGAAGCTATTTATAACCCGTGCATATGTACGATAAGCAGTTGCTCGACGTAGATTGCGTTGTGTTATAAGCGCGCGAAAGCCGGAGATGTACTCAGGTCGAGCGATAGTCGCGTCATCGGGCTGTGGGGATCGGCGTACGCGCGTGGCGCGATAAAAATGACGTTCCACGCCTCGCGGTGGCGGCCGGCGCGGCGCGACGACAGGCAGGTCTGTGTAGACATCGTTCGATTTACGGACCGGTTGCACGCACGCCGGCCGGTCTCGCGCCCGATTATCAAGTACACGAACTGTGGAATCCGTGTCGAATAACAAAAAACAATCCTTGTTTGAAAAACGATCCCCGACGATAATAAGCCGAACTGCACACGTGAGCCGGGTGAGGTTAGAAACAGAGCTGTCAGTGCTTCCGTGAAATTTGTTTTTAGGTCATGGTGTGACGTTTTCATTAGAGGAGTGCGCCCGAGTGAGTAACTTAAAATACATTGTTTTACTTTTTTTTTGCGAGACAACGAAACGTGTTACTTAACAGCATTGTAGGTGTTCTTGACATAGCTTTAACAACGCTAGTTCCTTGCAAACGTTGACATTATCAAGAACACTAGAACGCATGCGCCGATGTGCTGTGTCAATAGAATCGGTTACGCGTTTTTTCTACAAAGGCAGTATGATTGATAACATTCCATTGGTTTTATGGGTGATTTATGAAATCGCATTAATCAAGTTAATCAATTATTTAAGGCGTAGATTTTACATGCAAGACATTGACTTTTATATTAATCTTTCAAACAGAATGAAATACCTATACAGTTTATTTTTTTTACTTTTCATCAAGCTCTCTTTTGTGAAAAATACCTATTTGATGCTGAAAAGTGACTTAGTATATTGAAAATATTACTCCAAGTTCTAATTGGTACAGCATTCTTTACTTTTTCCTCAATAACAGAATCTGTTATTTACTGGTCATTTAGACAATATCAATCCAAACTACGGTTGCCAACCGTCCTGTTTCCCCAGGACATCTCCTGTTCTTCGGGGCGTCCGTGTCTGTGTTTAAAAGAAGAGTTAAATATTAAAATCAAACTAATATTCTATCAATGTCTGCAGTGGTAAAATGAATAAATACTTATGTTAATTTGTGGTGCAAATAAGGAAATAGATAAATAAGTCCTGGCTTTTTAAAGCGTTGATATTACGCCGCTGAGTGTTACTACTTGTTACTGCGTTCTGTTTTAAAAACGAATTGCCCTGGTCTCTCAGCTTTAAATCCTAGTTTTTAAAAATTAAACCCTAAACCAATCGATGTTTGCTTATTTCAAAGAAACCATAAAAACTATAACTTATAGTTACCAATTTAAACCATATTTTATAAATAGGTATAGCTTTATGTGATTTCGACTCGCTTCTAAAATACCAGGGCATGCTTATGATGATAACCTTGGCTTTGTTATTCAAATTAATTAATATACAAATATATTCATTCATCTTTACGCAAAAGAAGTGAATAAAGTTCGATTTAGCCTTATTAGTAAAATTTGTAATAATACTAGAAAAGGCTTATTGAGGAAATTAATAACGATACCAAAAAGGCACTTATAGCAAAAATCAAGAAGCATTAACATACAAATTTATTTTATTTATTCGCCCATAGGTTAAATGAAGGAGACAGTTCGGAGTAGATTTATTATCAGATCAAGAATCAAAATAATGCAAAGAAGGATTTATTAATGAAATTAATAACGATACAAAAAACACACTTATAGCAATGCAAAAGTATCAAGAAGCATTAATATAAAAAAATATTTATTTATTCGTCCTTAAATTAAATGAAGGAGACGGATCGAAGTAGTTTATTAACAGATCAAGAATTAAAATAATACAAAAAAGGTTGTATCAACGAAATTAATAATGATACATAAGACACTTATAGCAATGCAAAAGTATCAAGAAGCATTAATATAAAAAAAATATTTATTTATTCGTCCTTAGGTTAAATGAAGGAGACGGGTCGAAGTAGATCTATTAACAAATCAAGAATCAAAGTAATACAAAAAAGGTTTCATCAACGAAATTAATAATGATACATTAAAAGGCACTTATAGCAATGCAAAAGTATCAAGAAGCATTCATATGAAAATTTATTTATTTATTCGTCCTTAGGTTAAATGAAGGAGACGGATCGAAGTAGATTTATTAACAGACCAAGAATATAAATAATACAAAAAAGGTTTAACATATTAACGAAATCAATAACAATACAAAAAAAAGGATAATCGCAATTCAAAATTCCGAGAAGCAAATCTTAGAGCAAAAAACATTGATAAACAAAAAGTGGATTATACGTAAAAAGACAACGTAAAGAAACAAGATCACATTTAGGAAGTATTAATGTTTATCAATCACCAATAAAATCTTGCCTAGTTGCTTACATTCCACACGGTTACCATTAAAACTATTATTACTAGCGACGGTTACACATATTTTCACGCATATTATTATTATATTTTATTCAGTTGGTAGATTGCGCGCGGAACTTCTTTTGAGAACTTCTTCTTTCTTTTATTTAAACACTGAGAGGGATTTTTTGAGTGAAACAGTATTTCTTTTCATTGATATAGATGATGGGTACTTACATATATTCTTAAACATAACAAGTAAAATGGTGGGATTCTCGTACAAAAAATAACACTTACTCTAACGCCCCGTCAACTTTCCTTCATTATAGGATTTAATCTATCTTTATTAAAATTGATTCAAACTTAGATTTATGCATGGAAATGTGACCATTGTACCGAAGGATTTAACGAAAGCTTGCCTTCCGACTTGTCTTCATTCCATTCCATTTCAACCTGGCCACCACTAGGCTGATGCCGGTAATTTTAGTGCGCTCCCTAAATTCCATGTTAGGGATATGATTCGCAAGCGAGATATCCAGCATTGCACGTTCCAGCACTCGCTGGATTACCTAATGTTTGGGCACTAGCTCCACTGTAAGTGTCCACAAACTGTAACTGTGTAAGCTTAGCACAAACCAATATCGCATTCAAATAGATGAATTTGCTTTCCAATTTTCTATACGCGGCAAATATCAAGAAGTTTTGCATGGAAATTTGAACAACACCACAAGGGACGTAACGAGAATTAAAAATCAAATACAAAACATCTTTACATTTGACACGTATAGAGATCGACCAACTCAACTATTGAACCAGCCAATATCGAATTCGTAACGTTTGCGAGTCCGAAAAGTGTAAATGTGTACTGATTTTTAGTTCTCGTTACGTCCGTTATGGCGCTGCTGTTCAAGTTTCCATACAAAATTCGACAATGACATTTCGGACTCGCAAACTATTCGAATTCGATAATTATTCGTGCTAAGGGGGTGCCCTTGAGACCAGTCCTATGGTGATAGGACTGGTCTCGGCACCTTAAGTGAATACAGGAAGGAAACACCGCTCATATATACCTGTCTCTTAGGGAAGATGGGAATGCGTCTGCACGACCATCGGCAAGCTTACTAAAAGCTGCATTCTCCTGACAATCTCGTCTGGCCATCATACTAGGGGACGACTCCAATGTGTTTTTTTTATACATATTACTCTACTCCCCGCTTTGTTGCAGGTCTATTTTGTCTTCTTTTTACTCCTATAGGTTGTCCTTTTACTGTTTGTTATATGCTGTTGACTGGTGTTGGTGTTAATGTCCATCAATTGTGATATATTTTTCACGTGCAATCTCGGATTTTATAGCCATAAAAAAAGTTATTGTGGATTTCTTATTTTTATTTTAAGCATTTAACTGCTCGATCTAAGTCTAACGAAAATTATATATAAAATAAATCACATCGGCTATCCTGGCGAAAGATGTGGATAGTTCTTATTTACTTACCACAAAGCAATTATTTAATATTGTGTGTAAGTGTTACTACACAGTCCTGGACTGCAACGGTTATTAACGCTAATAAATGTCATTTTGTATACTTGTTTGAACCAAGGTTAAAAAAAACATTATTGAGTAAGTACGCAGTGATTTGTTATCAAATACCTACCTAGTTAATCTATATTTTATTATATAATCGCAAAAACACCTGCATGAAATACGAAACACAAACTTTTGATCACTCAGCTACTGGGTCATCTTTCATGCCTAAACTTATTTATTATTATTTGTATAATAAATACGCGATTTTGTTTATTTGATACGGATTATCTGTAACACTGTCCGTCTGTCTATCTTGAAATTTTCATGGTGTGGTTTGGAATTAGAGTAGCATCTTGCTATTATATTGCTTTCATTTTCATTTAAAAAAAAAGTGTTTAAAACAATTGCATTTTTAAAAAACACAAAAAAAATTACTTATTCGACGATGATTGTTCGATTTCATTTGATGTATTTTCACCAATTGTTATTTCTACTAATACTCAATTTGTTTATTACGTGGGGTATCAGCCCAAATCAACCTAAAAGCAACCAAGTCCTCTTATGGCAAATCTTCAATCAAACTTGATATATCAATTAGAACTTGTAGTAACAAAGATTATTTACCTTTTGTATTTTTTTTAGCATTTATTAATGTTGATGAGACGTAACTCACATGCTCAGAACGAAGTCAAAGGCCACCTCTAGCCCAACAAACATTTTTAATTTTATTTCTTACATAATACATGTTGTTTATATCCTATTACAAAACTCACCACTACTTGCAAATAATTTTCATTAATAAAATCAAATGTTAATAAAATAATGTCTATGATGTCAATGTTATTATTATTGTTTTTGACAGTAGCGTAATGTACAATACATTATGCTACTGTCAAAAAATAACAGATAAGTGAAACTGCTATATTTAACTCTACGTTTATTTATTTTTATCTTGCGTTACTAAAATTTATAGTAACCTCTTTAGACTAGGTGACCAATAATGAATTTGTTATCGACAATTTATTCACGTTCATTTCGCAATGCTAGTGACCGTTAGTTACTTCTTTTTTTTTTCAACTTACCTTAGGATGTGTTTAAACAAACCTATTGTTACGGATTTACCTGAGTCTTACTCAACAATGGAATTGGGAATCAGTTATTTTTTTAACGCGCACCGTTCATGTTTCGTACAACAACAAACCAGTTTCTAAGTCGTTTTACATTTGAAAACTTTATGGTTGACTAGCTGTGCCCCGCGGTGTTACCCGCGTTTAATTAGGGATATTTTCGCGCAGTAAAACGAAGCCTATGTGTTAATCCAAGGTGTCAGTTTAGATGTGAAGAAGTAACAAACATACACACTCATAAACTTTCGCCTTTATAATACGAGTATGTATTAGTGTGATAGCTCCATTGCTCATTCTATCCGTTCCCTAGTTACCCTATATCAAGCCTTTACAATGGTAGGCATTGACACTAAGAATAGACTAATTGATATGATTGTAAGAAATATTGGTTTAAACATTGAACAAATAAGTTTCAGCC